CGGGTTGAAAGCGGTTCCTTTTCAACATGTGGCTCTCGCCTTAGCGCCGCGCACATCCGTTTTAAACATTTGTAAGAGTTTCACGGGTTCCCAGGATCAACGTAACAAAAGCTATGTTTCGGAAGGATTCAGGATTATGCAGGTGCAACAGTTATGTTGATTTGCGGTGTTGGATTCAAGAAAATGACGTTATGGCACGATCCCGGATCGCCAAAAAGCAGCAGTCAGGTTGATACGTGGCGTTGAAATCCCGAGAGCCATGTTTTGGCATGCTTCAGGATCTTCAAACGGTTGTCTTCCAACGAGGCAGTTCCCTCAATGGAAATGAACCGTTGTAGGGGCCTGTGAAGAGGGAGCTTGGAGGGAGGGTTGATTCCAACATCGTTGATGACTCTTGGGTTTACACTGGTCCTCCTCCTCCTCCTCCGCCTCCTCCTCCTCGTCCTCCTTGTGCTCCTCCTCCTCCTCCTCCTCCTCCTCCTCCTCCTCCTCCTCCTCCTCCTCCTCCCCCGCTGACCTCGTCACCCCCTCCGCTTCCCCTCCTCGCGGCTGGCGCGCGCGGGGGCACGCGCGCAGGCGCACACGGTGCGCTCCGGGGCGCGGTGGGCCAGAATGGGGGGGGGGCGCGTGAGGGGGGGAGGGGGGGATGGGGCGAAGAAGGGCTGCACCGCCGAGCTGCTCCTCGGCGACGCCAGAGGTCACGCAGAAGCATCTGTGGTCGTCGTGCCAGCCCCTCTCGTCGAGCCTCTTTTGATGCCGTGCAGCAGCGTCAGATCATTGGCCCTTGGAAGGTGCGGAGCCCGCCGCTGCATCGGATGGCCTCTCGAACAATGGCCCGACGCCCAGATCGGCCTGTCGCGTGTTTTCTTGCCCCTCGTATCCTGCGTATTTGTGCGCACGGGGCGCCATTGACCTGAGAACGTCCCTGGATTCTGCTGGAGTCGGAAGCTGGGCGCTCACGGACTACAGTTTGCACAACGGTACTGTTCAGAGAGCCTTTCAGAAACACAGGGCAGGTGTATTCAATCCATAGTGTGTGTGTGTGTGTGTGTGTGTGTGTTTGCGTGCGTGCGTGCGTGCGTGCGTGCGTGCGTGCGTGAGTGCGTGCGTGCGTGCGTGCGTGTGTGTGTGTGTGTGTGTGTGTTTGTGTGTGCGTGTGTGCGCGCGTGCGTGACTGTGTGTGTGTGTGTGTGCGTGTGTGAAACATGTTGTTATTAATGTCGCGCCTCCGTTTCCTTGACTCCCGCCCCATTGCCTACTTCAGGCTAAGTCATACTCTGGCCACTCGCATCCAGGTGCAGTTATTCACAGCTTGGAGCTCACGCAATGCACTCGCACCCGTAGCATTCACACTCAGACCCGCCCAAGCCCATGCTCACTCATACTCAGACTCACCCACACCTGGTCGCGCTATTCAGGCGCGCTCACACCCAGAACGCTCATGCACCGATCGCATCATGATGAGACTTCCGTGGCCACCACGACGCAGCAAGCAAGGCACTCGGGTGCCCCAAGGCGGGAATGCCAATGGGGCATGGCACGGGCCCGTTCGCACCCATACCGCGGGGGCATCTTGAGCGAAACCCGTGCCTTCGGAGGCAGGCGTGCCTCCTTCCAGAGCCCTGTGACCACCGCGATGTGCCAGGCATGGCGCTTCGCCCCCCCAACAGGGAAGCCGCAGAGGGGCATTACACGGGGCTGGTTGCGCCTCAGTTGCGGGGATGTCTGACGCGAAGTCGTTGTTCGGGCAGCACCCAGCGGTTCAAAGTAGCGCCCCGTGATCATCGCGGTGCAGCAGGCATCACAATTGGGCACTCCAAAGGGGAGCCGCAAGGGAGCATTGATGGACCTGATCGCGGCCAGATCGTGGGGATGCCTGAAACGACGCGCTTGCTTTTTGGAGGTGTATGCGTTTCTATCCAGAGCCCCATGGCCACTGCGATGCAGTACGCATGGCATTTAGGCCACCCAAAGGGGAGGCCATTGCACGATCCTGATCGCGCCTCGGTTGTGGGGATGTCTCGAACGAAACGCTTGATGTTGGAAGTAGGCGTGTTTCTGCTCAGAGCCATGCTGATCACCGCGATGTACTAGGCATGGCACTTGGGTCACCCAAAGAGGAGCCGCCAAGGAGTGCTGCACGGGCCTGATCGCGCCCAGACTGCGGGGGCGTCTCCAACGAAACGGTTGGTTTTTGGAGGTGGGCGAGCTTCTGTGCATAGCCCCATGACCACCGCGATGTAGCGCAGGTAGACGTGTCTCTTTTCAGAACACCATGCTTACAACGATTCAGCAAGCATGGTATTTGAGTCACCCAGACGGGAACTGCCAGGGGGTATCTCGCAGGCCCGTTCGCGCGCGAATTGCGAGAATGTCTTGAACGACGCGCCTTTTTTTGGGGGGGGGGTATGCGTGTCTCACAAAAGAACCCCATGATCGCCGAGATGCGGCAAGCATGGTATTTTGCGGGCGCAGCATGCGACCACAACCACATTGAGGACATATCCTTGGGGATGCTTTGCGCATGCCGACCAATCGTCAGAACACCGAAACCAGCTTAGCACTGGTTGTGGGGGCGTCCCAGACGGCCAATCGATGTGTGCTCATGTCGAGGACGGTGGGTTCCCCCCCGGAAAAGACCCCCCAGACAAACAAAAATCCGCTTAATTCTGGTGTGCTCGGGCATTTAGGGTCATCCAAGGATGGCAGCCGACAAGCGGTCAATCACGGCCCTCGTGGCCACCCATACCACGATTCGCTTACAGTCAGACCCGCGTGTACCCAGTCGCCCAGCACGGCCCACACCTAGACACTCACGCGCAGGGAACTCGCCAGAACATAGATTCACACATGGGGACCTCCACGTCGAATAACATCAGGGTCCACGCGGGAGAGGAAGGAGGACGAGGCGACAAAACAGTGCACCTGCGCTTCGAGGGCCGTGTCCCCAGGCTCGGCGTGTCTGAATGCTTGATCTCCCTGACGCCATCACGCCCGACTTCAAACCGGCTTGCTGCTCTGCTCGGTGAGTGGTGGGCGCACCCAGAAAAACAAATCCACCGACCCTGTCGGTGTGTGTGTGTGTGAGGGGCTTGTCCGTTCGAGTCGTCGTCTCCGTCGTTCGTTAGTCGTCGTCTCTGTCGTCCCCTTTCCCTTCGCCTCCCCTTTCCCTGGGCCCGTCGCCGCTCCCCCTCCTTTCCCCCTCCTCCTCAAGCGCTGGGCCCGTCGCCGCTCCACCCCCTCTTCCCTAGGCCCTCCTCCTCAAGCGCGCCAGCCAAAGCGAAATTGAGCAACGTCGTACTTGATTCGAGGGAAAGCCCCTTCCCTTTGATCCCTCTCCCGCTGGGAGGGGGATGGGGGTCCTGGGGTGGGGTCCCAGGGGTGGGGTCCCGGGGGTTTCCCAAGTCAGATGCGGCTCCCCCCCAGGGGGCCCCGGGGCCCAAAAAGCTCCAAGACAGGCCCAGACTGCCCCAAGAGGCCCCCAAGACGGTCAAGAGGGCCCCGAATCGCCGAACGATCTGTCCAAGACGCCTGGACGGCCTCCAGACGGCCCAAGAGCCCTGCAAGACGCCCCAAGAGGCCTCCAGGAGTACTCCCAAGAGGGCCCCAAGAGGAAATATCACTCATTTCCCAATTGATTTTTGAAGCATTTCGGCGTTCTCGCCTCTTCCGCTTCCCGACGCTCGAAGACGGCCCAAGGGGCACCCCAGATCCAAAGAGGGCTCCAGGAGGGATCCAAAACAGCCCAAGAGGGCCCCAAGACGGCCCAAGACGTGTCCAAGACGGCCCAAGAGGCCCCCAAGACGGCTCAAGAGGGTGGCCAGACGAGGGACCAGAACGGACATTTCGAGCCCTCGGCCCCGAGAGGAGGAACCAAGAGGCCCCCAAGAGGCCCCCAGGAAGCCACAAGAAGGAAGAGAAGGAGGAGGAGGACCAGTGTAAACCCAATAGTCATCAACGATGTTGGAAAATCCTTCCTCCAAGCTCCTTCTTCATAGGCCCCTACATCGGTTCATTTCCATTGAGGTATCTGCCTCGTCGGAAGATAACCGTTTGAATACTTTTAAGCATACCAAAACACCGTTCTCGGGATTTCCACGCCACGGATCAGCCTCATCGCTGCGTCCTGACGATCTGGAATCGTGCCACAACGACTTGGGATTTCAACACCTCGAAACAACATAACTGTTGCACCCGCATAATCCTGAATCCTTCCAACGCACAATTTTTGGTACGCTGATCATGGGAATCCGTGAAACTCTTGCACTTTCTGAGAACGAATGTGCGCGGCGCTAAGGCGAGAACCACATTTTGAAAACCACCCGCCCTCAATCCGTGAAGCTCTTGCAAATTCTGGAAACGAATGTGCGCGGCGCTAAGGCGAGAGCCACTGTTTGAAAACCACCCGCCCTCAATCCGTGAAGCTCTTACAAACGT